ACGTTCTGAGAAAAACGAAAAATGATTTTCGGTTTTTTTGTAAAAACGGCTTGTTTTTCGAATAGGAGGTGACGAATAAAAATTTTTGTCGCGCATGAAAGAGCAGATGACGGGTTATTTCTTCATGAATTTATCTCAATTTCGATGATTCTGACGAAAAGCGACTTTTTTGTGGAGGCTCTAAAATCTATCATCTTCGCATTCTCACATCTTACTATTAAATAAACAAAAGGGTGGCTGTATCTTATATAGTATCAGACAAAAAAAAAAGAAAAACGTCACGTGTTCTATTCTTTCGATTGCCAAAAAAAGACAAATCATTAACTGTTGTCGTTTTCAAGTTAATCAGTTTACACCCATTCTTCTTTACTTCTGACGAAGATATTTAGACAATTTTTATTCTTTCTATTTCATATAGGAAAACTTACTATAACTAATATTCGTCTTATTTGGCATAGTCATTCATCACCACGTGTTAATCTTTGTATGTAAATGAATAATTACAAATTAAAAACTTATTTATATAGTTTGTTTTCTTTCCTTTCTTTTAAGCTATTGGTCTTTATTCAATTGTGACAATTACTGTTCGAAATGCGAAATCAGTATTATTAATTAATATTCGATCTTTTTATTGTTTTGTTTTTTTTTGAATAGAAACTTCGTGGTAGTACAGAATCTTTATATCTTCTAACAAAATCTGGTTCATCTCGTTATGAATTTATATTTACTAATCTTATAGCGGGCTCAAGTGCAATGCTTAATTCAGTTGTTGCTGTTCATAAAGCATATGATTCATCACGTCTTTATCGTGAAATTCGTCTTCGTTCATCATTACTTAATAAAGGTCAATTACGTATTTTACCTAAAGAACGTTTACATAATCGATATAATGGTGTTTGGAACCTTTCATCTGATCAAGTATTTCTTCAACATTTCTGTTCTTTTTTTTTTGTATTAGAAAAATCTGAGACTTTCTTTTTTTTTTGTTTTATATTTAAGGGTAATCTTGGTATTTTTCATATAACAGATATTCGTGTTATATGGCATGCAGAATTAAATGAAAATTTTAATGTTAGTGTACCATATTATCAAACAAAAAGTATTAAAGTTCGAGATTCAAAATTTGGTTTAGCACTTGTTATTGAAACAACACCATATGTAAATAAATTTTTTGAAGTTATTTTTTCAAAAGAAAAAAAGAATTTTTCTAGAGTGGAAATTATTTACTTGGATTTCAATTAGCACCCGAAGAAAAACTTCGAGAAGTTCATAAAGAACTTATTACACTTCATAAAACGTAATTAGACGAATGATTTCATTTGAATTTCAATGAAACATACACATACAAAAAAAAAACATGATTTCTTTAGTTATTTTGCAAATCCAGAATTCGGTGTACAATTTTCAATAGAAGAACAACAATCTGATCAACCAACAACACGTTTGGAAAGTAAAGTTGATGATATTGAAATATTACAAAGTCGAGAACATACAGATTCATATGCAGTATGCATTTTGTTTTTGTTTTTTTTTTACTTAAAAGTAATTCATTTTCTTTTTGTATTAGACTTATTTAACTGATACTGGTAAACACGATCATGAACCTGTTTATTCTGAAGAACTTGGTTTAGCTATTGAAAAATTACCACAAGGTTATACATTGGCTAGCCTTTGGGATATTCTTAGTTGAACATGATGATTTTGTTTTCTTATCAAAATAATTTATATAATGTAAAGTTTTATCGATTTTAATTTTGTACTTTGACTGAAATAGAAAAATCGATTTATGCGAAGACAATGTTGTAAACGATCTGATTTGGTTAGCGACTAACAACCAGTAAAAATCAGCTGATTGTGTTAGATCATTTTTGATCAGTTAAAAGAATTCATTTCATCAAAAGCACCCTCATTGTCACACCATAAATTTTGGTATGTTACAGAAAAATCTAATGTTTGTCTCCAAATGATTGTCCAAAGCTAAATCTAATCTCTGTTTCAATAGAAATATATTAAAAATAGCTTTAACTAAAACTTGCTTTTTTCTAAAGTAAATTGACCTTTATTAATCGTAAAAATTTATGAAAGCGAAGATTATACAACACATTAATATCCAGCTCATTCTATTTCTTTCTATTCATCATACATTAAACTAAAAAAAAAATCAATGCGTATTTCGATCAAGTTAATGAATAGAAAATAAAAGAAGCGATCTTTATTCATTTTTTTGAATAAAAAAAAACGAAATCAGTACGTAATTACTTGACGACTTTGATGAAAAGTAGATAACATAAGACAGAACTCATTTCTTGTTTGTTTTTGATACACTAAAAAATCTCTCTAATATCGGTACCATCAGAACTGGTCGATTTTCAGTTTCTTTTTTACAACCTATCAATATTCAGTTGTAGTCGCTTTTCGGCTGCTTAAGATCAGTGGTCAATTAACACGTATTGGTTTTTTTTAAACATGCATGGTTAGTACATCTTATATGTATTCTATGATTGTTTATCATAATACAATACACATAACAACATTTTTTTCTCGCCCTGTGCGGGATTAACAGAACATGTGTCGTTCGCATTACAGAGGTTGTTATTGTTTATGACACCGGAAACTAAGCATCCATGGCTTAGAATACGAAGACGTTCACATTATTTATCAGTGATGAAGAAAATAGCTTGGTTATTGTTGAATAGTACATCAACTATTTAATACAGATAGAATAATTATAATCTATCTATTACGAGCTCAAACAAGACTTCATTAGTCTTTATTGATCACATTAAAACTATATATGTATATCTGGAGTAAAAAAAAAAAATTGAAATTTTTTATTTATATTTACAAATTTCATTTTGTTAATGTGCAGAAAATGAAAACAAAACACAATGATAATATACGTAAACAACATAGAAGTACTCTTTTTTTTTTCTTAGCTAATTAAAATATATATGTAGTATTCATAATCCTATGATTTCTTCATGAACGATCATTACGTGAACGACTATTTGATGTTGCTGGTGATCGAGATCGATAATGATGTCGTCGTCGATCATCACGCGATGAACTTCGTCGTTGATGATGATAATGTTTATGTGATCTATATCGATCTGAACTATCATATCGATGACGATCAGTTGAACGTGATCGAGAACGATCATCACGAGATGATCTAAAATAATAAAACGAAAAAAAAAAATTTTATTGATTGTAAGTTCTACAATTCTTTTTTTTTTACCGATATTTTTTATTTCGATATGAATCTGATGATACACGATGATGATAACCATTACGATCAGTTGATGATGATGATGATGAAGCTACATTACCAAATGTTTCAGGCATATCAATAGCATTTGATGACGCAACCTTTTGTTGTCCAGCATCATCGTCATAACTATATAGCATTCAAAAACGAAAAAAAAATACATACGATTATTGATATTGAAATAAATAATTATTTTTGCTTACTTTCCCAACTCACGTACCTTAAATATGTATCATAATTATTATGTTTATATGGTCCATGTGCATGTAATTTTTCCATGATTTCTTTTTGAGCTGGAACTGGTATACGAGGAAATAATGTGTCAAACCATCTAGAAAGAACTGAAGTTATTTCAAAACAAAAAAAATTCAAAATAAAATGTACATACTCAATTCGTATTAACCATTGACGAAGCATTTGACCTATTGACATAATACAACCACCACCAGCTTTTACATCTAATGTCTAATTCAAAAAAAAAAAAATTCATCATAATAGATATTCTTTTATTAGAATTTACTCACTTACTTCTGGATCATCAAGATATTCTTCAAACCATTCAAATAATTCATTTGGTGGTTGAGTATATCTTTAAAAATTAAATTTTTTTCATTAAAAAATCAAAATATAATTCTTAACATACCGAATATACATAAAACCAAGTGCACGAATATATGGTGAATCTGTATGAATAGTTAAACTGATTACTTGTTTCCTTGTTAATTTTAATGTATATAATTTATACAATATACAATATGCTGTCGATACAATACCACCTCCACTAACACCACGTACCTAAATAAGTAACAAAAAATATTAAGATTTTTTAAATTAAAAAAATTTCGCTGCATTATAAAGCAAAACTCAATTAAAATGTGATATGTAAGAAAAGTATGAGATGAGAATACGAATTTCAGTGATTTCATGCCGTTTTGTAAGAATCGATTTTGGCATGCATACATTGTAATAACTTTAACTAATGATGATAAAAAGAAATACACTTGAAAAATAGCTTTCACAAAATTCATCATTTCGGTATTAGGCAGTTTTCAATGCAGAATGTTTGACACTATTAACTTCTATACTGAGCCGTTTAGTACACATTTGTAGAGAATTGAACAAGGAATCTTTTACAAATTCGAACTTGAAAATCAATGTTGAAAGTGATCTGAGGATGATCCTATAGTATTTCATCGAAAAACTAACAAAAATCCATTGAGTACGGGCGACGCGAATTTGAACCCTGAGATTTCGGAGCTTGAATAACTTTAAAAAACACGGTTTGTTGATTATTTAATAATATGAATTGCATGGAGATTTGTGCATTAAGATTGTCTATATTTACTGATGATTATTGGTTGTCCCCTAATTCTTTGAGTACGGGATTATGTTTATATAGTAAAAAGGGCGGAGGATGGTTGATAGACAAATCGGCCCTATAAAAATTTTTTCCCAGAACTCTTCATAGTTTCATTTAAAAGACCAAGTTCTATCACAAAAAATGCTCAACTGACTGAGCTCTTTCGTTTAATATAATATAGCTAGGATTTCGAATGAAAAAATTTTTTATAGGGCTGATTTGCCTGTCAACCATTTCCCATTCTTTTTACTATATAAAAATAATTCCGAACTCAAAGAGTTAACTAAAGAAGAGAGACGCATGAGCACCAATCATTTAAGGCTTTCTGTAATTTCAATAGAACCATCTGAATGGACAAGATTCCTTCATCGATGATATCATTAGTTTTCTATCGAAATGAAATTTAGCTTTGTTTTTTGTTTTAATTTGTATGAAAAAGAAAACATGTTTACGTACTCCTCCACACATGCCAGTTAATCCCGATGTTTTTCGACTTCCTCTTTCCCATGGTTCCAAATGTTTAACCTAATAAAAAAGAAAAAATATTAAAGTCATAAAGAAAAATTAAACAAATCAATTCATAAGAATTTTTACTTGATAATAAATTTCATCAACAACTTCATGATAAGTTTTTTTTTCATATAAATTAACTTTAAAATATTGTGATTGCATAATATTATCAAGTAAAAGTGAATTTAAATTCATTGATTCTTTATTTCCCCATATGGAAAGAACATTTGAATCTTTAGACATATTTGTTTTATATAATCTAAAATTTCCAAAAAAAAGAAAACAAAATAAATGATATAAAAAAATAAATTATTCATCTTTATAGAACAGAAAGGTCATATATAAGCAATGATTTTGGATAGAAAAGATAGATATATCTACAGAAGAGAAACATTAAATGAGGATACAATAGATAATAGTGTTAAATTATATTAAGGCTCACCTTCAAAAATTGATCCTGGGTCTCAATAACTCGAAAATCTCTATGGACTTTTATTCTGTAGATTTTTTAATTTGAAAGAGCATGTTAGGCTGCAACACCCTTGTTTGCTAAATCCTTACTTTTTATGCTGAAAAAACCGAATTCTGCAGCTTTACACGCTCTTTCAAGCAGAGAAAAAGATTTCCCGGTCTTTCTAATAAAAGCATATGTTCCAGGCAGAAGATGATGAAAAATTCGAAATGTCATTTATGAAAGATCAGACCTTGGACTATCTTCTCATACATTTTATCTTCATTTCGATTTTTCCGATGAAAATGAGGGTTACCATAATCTGAACTAATATATAGGTTATAATTAGACATAAGTGGGACTATTCGTTTTTTTTTTGCACCGGTCAAAAAAGAAGAATTTTGTTGCGGGATTATCTTGCATATTTACAGTTATATACATATGCACGTCA